AGGACCTAACACAGCCAAAATTAAAAATAAATAAATAAATTTATTTAAAAAAAGAAAAGAAAAGAAGTACAAACTTCCAGTTGCAAAGTAAATGAGTCATGGGTATGAAATGTACATTGCAGGGAATACAATCAATCACTATGTAATATCTTTGTATGGTGACATATTGTAACCAGACTTACCTTGGTGATCAATTTGGAATGTTACAAATATCAGATCACTATGTTGTGTAGCAGGAACTAACATAATGTTGTAGATCAATTATACTTGAAAAAAACACGGGGATTTCCCTGGTGCTCAGTGGTTAAGAATCGGCCTGCCAATGCAGGGGACCCGGGTTCAGTCTCTGGTCGGGGATGATCCCACATGCCGCAGAGCAACTAAGCCCGTGTGCCACAACTGCTGAGCCTGTGCTCTAGAGCCCACGAGCCACAACTACTGAAGTCCACACGCCTAGAGCCCGTGCTCCGCAACAAGAGAAGCCACCGCAATGAGAAGCCCATGAACCGCAATGAAGCGTAGCCCCTGCTCGCCGCAACTAGAGAAAGCCTGCACACAGCAACAAAGACCCAATGCAGCCAAAAAGAAAATAAATTTAAAAAAAGAAAAAAGAAAAACAAACAAAAAAACTCACTCATATAAAAAGAGATCAGATTTGTGGCTCCCAGAGGCAGAGGTTGGAGGAAGGGGCAATTGGATGAAGGCAGTCAAAAGGCACAAACTTCCAGGTATAAGATAAATAAGTACTAGGGATGTAATGTACAGCATGATAAATATAATTCATGCTGCTGTATGTTATATATGAAAGTTGTTAAGAGAGTAAATCCTAAGAGTTCTCCACAAGAAAAAGAATTTTTATTTCATTTTGCATCTATGTGAGCTGATGTTCATTAAACTTTTTGTGATAATCACTTCATGATGTATATAAATCAGATCATTATGCTGTACTCCTTAAACTTATACAGTGCTGTATGTCAATTATATCTCAATAAAAGTGGAAGAAAAAAATAAAGTATTAAAAAGATAAATAAAATAAAGATTAAATGCTTCCCTTGATGCCAATGCTTGTACTCCTTTGATGATAAGGCTCCCTTCTCAGGGGCCAAGGCCATGCTGACTCGCTGTGTACATGCTGATTTGTTGTTTCTCTTTCTTTTTTTTGAAACCTTGAAGGAATATATCACTGACTTGTTTGATGTTCTTTGTTCTGAAAAGATATAAAACTGTGCTGAGAACCATGCTTCTCTGGAGCAGTTCCTCAGGGTTATCTGAGAGGCTGTCACCTGGGCTATAGTCTTCAGTTTGGCTCAAATAAAACTCTTGTCTATTCCTATTATAGACTGTTTATTGATTATTTCTGTTGGCAGGATGCAGCACCGTTTGTCAAATCATGGTTGAATCACAACCATAGGTTGAGTACAGATGTAGATTTTGGTAAAAATCAACAAAAGCTTATTGTTACATGGAATTTACAACATAGAGCATTATACATACTATTATTATTTGCACATTCTGTGCTGTATATGCTTTATGTATAGTAAACTACATTACTTATAGTAAACTGATGTATATATAATTTTTTTCTGGAGAGCTGGGTATTAAACGTTTACTTGCACGTCATTATATCAACCCCACTGGAAGCGCTGCAGACATTTGAAGCACAGCGCCCTCGCTCAGCTTGGCAGTGTCCAACTGCTGGAGACTCAGCCATCTCTGTGGCTACAGACTTTCATTGTGTCTAGTTGGGGTCCCGCAGGGGTCCAGTTGCTGGTCAGGAAATCAGCAGAGTGCCTAACAGTTCTAACTGGAAGAAACACAGTCCCTCATTTTCCTCTCCCAGTAGCAGACAGTCCAGGTGAAATGAGAAAAGGCTGTGCCTATAAAGCTTACAGAGCTCAATTTTAGCTATTTAAAGCTGAATTTAATAGAAAGGTCTGTCACAGGACCTACTGCCTGTGTGACATAAAGCTACATGTGCCAGAGTGGCTTTTGCAGACAGTAGAAATTGGAAATGCATTCAGAGGCTGCTTTTCAATGCTCCCAGCCAAGAAAAGTCAGTTGCTTCCAGGCTAGATGGGGGGCAATTGTGCTGTGCCCGACAGGTGCAAGTGGGCTCCTCCCCAGCAAAAGGCATTTGCTTTGGCTCTGAAGTAAACTCTAACACAGAGATGGGTTGAAAGTTCTGAACAGTCAGGGAATTGAAATCATGTGACTAGTATAAATCCTTGTGGCCTTTCCTGTTCCTTCTCTCAGTGTCCCTGTGTGGGTCCCTAGTGAGAACACACATGGTCACGTGGTGGCAGATCCTAGTTTTCTAGGTTATGCCAGGGTAGACCGAGTGAGAACAAAAGCTGGAAAAGAAAGAGTGGCTTCTATAAACAATCCAGAATTGGAGAGAGCTTGTTATTGCTTTCTCCAAAGGAGAGACCCCTAGTTCTCTGTCAGAGTGAGCCAAACCAGGGTGTGAAAAAGCTCTTCTCTGGGGGGGCAGCTCTGAGATAATGGCCCAGGAAGGCTGTCTCTTATCTACTCTCCTCAACAGCAGGAGACAGATAAGATACATGACACATTTATGTGAAGCTTCCAACCAGGAGCCCAGGATCATCTTTTGTCTCCAGGGAAGTTTCTACTTTTTAATGATCTCTCTGAACAACTGGGGTGCCATTTACAGGGAAAATACCTTTTACCCTCAAATTCTCCATGCACTACCGAAAAAGGTGGCAGCTCACTTTTCACAATTTCTGATCTTTTCAGAGCTAAGTAGGTCACGGTTTCTTAACTGGTTAGTTAGTTAGGTGGATGGATAAATGGATAGAGAAAATGGTTAATCTGGGTTTTTTTGCTTAATATTAGGAATTATTCTGATTATTATTAGGAGAATCCATAATCCTGGTTCCTAATTTTCTATTTAAAATGTAAATGTTATGTAAATCCACAATCCTGGTTTCTAATTTTCTATTTAAAAAGTAAATGAGTGTTTATATCCTGGATATTCATACTAAAAATGAACATGTCTTGGTTTTCCTTTTTACCACAGTTGTAGACTCTCAAGTGTGGAGCAGCCTTCTTAGTTCAATTTCCTGAAGTGGAGCTGTTGAAAATGAGACAATGTATCCTTTTGTCTGCCTATGTTTTTTTAGCACACTTCATATTGGTATAAAAGTGTAGAAGATGCGCATTTTGTAAACATTGTACACATAATATAAACATATTCATCAGGTTCTTAGGTTAAATTTGCAAAGTTCATCACTTGTTTATTTCCATAAAATTAAGCTGCAACAGATGGTACTGCTCAGAATGTACTTGAAACCATGTAAAGACCACTTTGCTATCAGAAGTCATTATTACCTAGAAATACTTATGTTTCAAAACTTTAATAATTATTTTCTCCTGAACCAGAGTCCCAGTCAACCCTTTACTGAATTCTACCTTCTTTTTCTTTAACTCTTATTTGAATATTACATCAAATTCATATTTTCATAGCCAATGGTGGAAAAGTTTGAAAATGCCAATAAACTAATTTACAATACAGATTTTAAAAATAACTGTATTACATAGGCTTATGAACTAAAGTGGGTTTAAAAAGCTGAAAAACTCAATGGAAATGTCACCTATTTGAGTGCATTCAAAGTGAACATTCTAAAGCGTGCAGCTTTATGTGCAGGGGGCCTTTCTCAGCCTGCCTGGCTCCCGTGCCCCCCAGCATCCTGGGGGACTTCTGTAGTCACTGACCTTTGCATTTTTTCACTTCTCTCTCCCACTCAAGCTTGAAGGGCGGAGCCACCAACCCCAGCTTATGGTGGGCTTCACAAGATATTTGCAGCATTGGTGTGTGTGTGTGTGTGAGCTCACGCTCACTCTGTAGAGCTGTAAAGTAGCACCCCATTTAGTTCAGCAGATTTCCTATTTCAGTGCTTACACTGAGAACTCTCTATTCACCTGTATGTATCGTGCATTGGGACCACCCTGTCCTGGCAGGGAGGTTTCAATGTTGATTGAAAGACACTCTTCTGCTCACAATAGCACCCCAGTATATGTAGCTTTATATCACATGCACAATAAATCCGTGATGGCCTTCCCATTGAATTCAGCTTTGAACATTTTAAAGGAAATTCTATAAGGTTTATAAAATATCAGTATTTTGACCAATTAATTTAATTCAGGCTGTGTTGTCTATCCCAGAGTCCTTGTCTCTCTCATATTTTATTCTTATTGATTAGTTTGCCTGAATAATTTACAATATTCTTCTTGTTTTCACTCCTCTGATTTCTAGTTATGGTATCTGTCCAAACAGGGCTGTGTTTAATCAATAGAGAGCTAATATATTTGACAGATCCAGCTGAGAAACACCAGGCTCCCAAGTACTGTGTGATTGGCGGGAAGACAGGCTCCTTGGTCCACTTTAAGGGCTCCTTTTTACAGAGATGTTGGTGATAATCTCAAGAAGTGTTAATTGTCCTGAAAAGGGTGTCACAACTGAGCCATTAGTAGAGGAAGCTGGAGAAAGGAGATGGGGTGCCCAGCCGCTTGCCTCCAGCCCTGGCTCCCTCCGCCTTTTTGCCTTCCTTTCTTTGTCTATGGAGCATTTTTAGGCATCTTCTTCTTGGCAGACTCACAGCATAGCAGTGCTGGGGACACACATGTGGCACCGTCCCTGCCCCCCAGGACTTAGAAACTAGTGCGTTGACTGAATGAACAAATAACTGATGTGAAGTGTTGCCGCAGCTATGTGTGGGGCTCAAGTAGTGCTCAACGGGGAGCTGTTATCTGGGAGGGGCCACGTGTTTGGTCTACTCTGAAATCATCAGAGATTGGGCTGAAGGGGCCCCAGCCTCTAGCGTCTACTCCTGCGCTTCTAAATCGTATACCCAGGAAAGCAAGAAAGGCTCTTTCATGCAAATGTTTATTAAACAATACAAATATGCATCTAATGCTCCACTTGATAAGAAATGAAACCAATCTATTACCTACAACATAGACAATACAAGAGGACAAGCGAGCCCGGCTTCCCCACGCAGCGCCGCCTCGCTCGGCCACGCTGGGAGGCCAGGCGCGGCTCGGGTTCCGCCGGGTGGAACTGCGGTCCCGTCAGCGGCCTCCCCCTTCGCTGAGCACGGATTTCAGGAGGAAGCAGGGCAGGAGGAGGAGAACATTCCCCGTGAGCTGCGTTCTTGGTCCATTAGAGTGTGAGGCGAGAAAGTCTTTCAGGTCTGGAAAAAAATCCCGAGAGTGTATGAGACATGCTGTGGCAGGCTTGCTTTAAGAGAGTGAAGCAGAGATGTCTGCCGTTTTCTCGCTGGGCCTCCTCTCTAGGCCTTGCCCGGCGGGCTCTGCATCAGCCGCGGAGCCTGAGCCGCGGCTTCCCGGCCACGAGGAGGGCAGCGCGGAGCGCGGAATGAAGCCCCATGTGGGGAACGCGGCGCAGCCCCAGGAAGACGTGCTTCCCTTTAGCTTGTACCTTCCTCGCGCTGCGGCTGGAAACAGAGGAATTTTTGTGTAACCTGGAGAGCTGAAGGAGAATCAGTTTGCTGTTTTTAAGGCTCACAGAGAAACAGCCCTTGAGCCCTTCTCATCTGGCACATGAGCTGGCCAAGGTGATCGTTCAGAGTTCCACACCCGTCATTTAGCAATGCAGGTAAGTGGATCTGATTTAAAATAAAATAACATAAAATAGCTTGCACCCATCTGTTGCAAAGAAGGTCCAACTTTTCCCCCATTAGCTCTGACTCTATTTCTCTGACTAGGGACCACTTATTGAAGAGAAAAGCACCCATCCCTACAGCAACGGCGGATATCCCCACAGAGGAAGTTACAAGGCGCAGCTGCAGAGCACTGGGGACGATGCCGCACCCGCAGTGCTCACCACCCTGCTGAGGCAGTGTGGCTCCTCCACTGCGGGTCTCACTCTGAGCCCCAAGGCTCCGTGCGTCTGGCTTTCTATATAGCTAGGACCCCAGCCCAAAGGTGTTGAGTGGGAATCTCTGGGGTAGTGAGACGGGGCAAGGGTCGAGGCCAAAGTCACCGGTGGTGAGTGGCTACCCTGTGAAGCTGACAAGCCCCACAGGCATGGCCGCAGGCAGGGGCACCAACTCCACTAAGCATTCTCACAAGCAAGTCTGGGCTGGATGTGGGGTCAGCTGGGCAGGGAAGCATGCCGATGAGGAAAGGGCCAACTTAAAGGGACCTTTTCCCCAGGGCTGATTGGCAGAAGCCAGCCTTCTCTTCCCCTGACAAACCCTCCAAGCACTGTCCTCTAGGATTCCTCCAGAAACTGCCTTCTGAATGTGAAAACCTGTGGTGAGCATGAACCGTCAGAAACTAATGAGTAATGATGAAGACGAGCCACCGCAGCACGGACCGGCCCTGCATCTGTCCGTAGGTGACTACGGTGGGCATGTCCAGGAGGCCACGCTCAGCACAAGACCAAGGTCAGGCCCACTCCAGACCTGGGCACCATTCCCCACACCACCCCCATGGGAAAGGGTTGTTCCAGGGTACTTGAACCCCACAAAACAGGAACCTTAGCATGTGGGCTCAGAGGAGGTTCCAGAAAAGCTGATGATACAACAGGTGGTCCCAGCGTGAGAATCAGCTACAGGTAAAGAAGGGGTCAGCCTGTACTGAGTTTCACTGATTTTTCCCTGGTGGAAGGGAACAGGCTGCCCACAGAGAGGATTCAGGCCCTGTTGGCAGTCTTTTCTTGTATATGAACTCAAAGGCCATTGTTATAGTCAGCTTTGTGAATTTGGTTAGATGGAGTCCTTCCCTCAAGCAGGGGTCCCCAAACTGGGGCTGTGAGCACCATGCAGTGTCCCTCCCAGGGGGCCCAAGGTCACCCATTGAGCTTAGTGAGAAAATATTAGAACTTCCACTATATACTGAGGAAAAAATTAAAATAAGCTTTATTAATATTTACTGTTTATTAGAATCTATGAAACCAATGGTTCTATGGCTTGTCATTATTTTATGTCATACCAAAAAGGAAACTCTGCTACCGATGGATGATTTACTATAACCTGGGATTTTAATTATACACTTATCAAAAGGTCTCTTTTTAGACTTGCACAGACATAGCAGAGATTTTTATCATTATGTTAGTCTTAGGCATGTATGTAAAGGAAGATATAAGTGAAATCAAATTTGTGAATGCTCAGCATGTGTCACTTGTCACCACCACTGAGTGGGGATTTAAATGGAGGTCACCTGGATGAGGATAATATCTTGTTTCAGTATGAGTTCCAGAGCCAGCATTCCCCAAACTTTCCAATTTGAAGATACCCCTGAATGCCCCTGGAGAGCCAGATGGTTTCCTCTCTGTGATGACACCCAAAGAAGCTCCCCCACTGAAACGGCACCTATCATGGGAGAATGTCCCAGAGGGATCTGACAAAGGGCCTGCTCTCTCCTGGGCAGCACACCCACTGCTGAGAGCCAGCTGGGGCCAGGACCTAGGAGGGCCATCCTTCCAATAGGCCCACAGGCTGGCTCTGTTCGTTTGCTTGTTGGTTGGTTGGCTGACTGTTTTGTGCCAGAACTGTATTTTTTTTTAGTTGGGTTTGAAGGTGAGGCTTGACCTGACCCCCATCTGACATTTACATGACCTGTTTATCTCTGAAGACATTCAAATTTGCTACTTCACTGTGTCATTATTTAGACTCTAAATTTTAGAACATAATGGTTCTTGATACTAAAGAGATACTTAATTCTTTGGGCTGTGTGTAGGAAGAATCACCGTCTTGGTAAAATGAGGTCTTGGGCTGAATCAAGGACTGCTAGCTCCAAGGTTGTCATTCTTCTTGATTTTTTTTTTTTAACTCTAATTATAACAGTGTCATCAGTTAATGGTATAGTGGGTATTGTTCACAACCTGAAAACCACATTTCAGTAAATTTGCATATAAGTGCTAGATTATGAAGTCATTTTTTCTAACTTCATTGTATTGATGTGAATATGGTTGATGGTGATGATAATAAAGTAACGATATTTTACTTTATGTATAATATGAAACAGGTATAGGGTCTTTTCATCTTAACAAACCAATGGGGTAAATATTGGTGCTGTGGAGACTGAAGCACAGTTATTTAACCTTTCATAAAGATCATGAACATTACAACAAGTATTTTGGGGGGTTTGAACAAGTATTTTGGGGATTTCCCGTGCTTTTTTTATATGCCACATTGCCTCTTTACATGCAAAATTAACAAACGTAAATGAAGAAAATGGTAGAATGATAGTTAACCTGTCTTAAGCATGTTGTATTTAGAGCACTGAAAACTGATTGTTTTAATGTAATATAATAGTAGGTAATAGCTTATGTGGTGTTTCTTCTTTGGCACTATATTTGGAACTAAAAGGTCAAAGGTCATCCATTCAATATTTATTTAGAATTATTATGCACAAAGCATTATTTTAGGTCATGGAACAGAAAAAAATTATAAAATAGCTCACACCAACAAACAAGATTATTTTGCATAAATTTTATCCTTCTCTGCACCCTCACAGGGCAGGTTATCCTTGAAAAGACATTATATTGGGACTAAGAAAGCCTGTCAAACTTGGACCCATAGAGTATCAGAGCAGGGAGAGCCCTTGGAGATCCTTTGGCCTTTGGGTCCCTGGAGGAGCCAGAGGACCACAGTTTTGTAGCATGTTGTTATCTATTTGTGATCCCCATCCATATGTGTCCTTTCACAGTAGAAATATATTGTAAATACAGTTTTCCATTCTATCTTCCATATACTCTTCAAAGTCATCATAATCTTCCATTAAAGGAGTTAAAACATTTACTTACCTATTATTCTGCTGTTGGATTTACAACATGGTCAAATTTTCAATATTCTAAATAACACTATCAAAAATATTCTTAAAAAGCCCAGAAATAAACCAACACATTTATGGTCAATTAATCTATGACAAAGGAGACAAGATTATACATTGGAGAAAAGACAGTCTCTTCAATAAGTGGTGCTAGGAAAATTGGACAGCTACATGTAAAAGAATGAAATTAGAACACTCCCTAACACCAAACACAAAAATAAACTCAAAATGGATTAAAGACCTACATCGTAAGCATGGATACAATTAAACTCCTAGAGGAAAACACAGGCAGAACATTCTTTGACATAAATCACAGCAGTATTCTTTTGGATTTGTCTCCGAAAACAAAGGAAGTAAAAGCAAAAATAAACAAATGGGACCTAATTAAACTTAAAAGCTTTTGCACAGAAAAGAAAACCACTGACAAAAAGACAACTACTGAATGGGAGAAAATATTTGCAAATGATATGAGCTATAAGGGGTTAATATCCAACATATATAAACAGCTCATACAACTCAACATAAAAACAAAACAAAACAAAAAACCAGATTTAAAAAAATGGGCCGAAGAACTGAGTAGACATTTTTCCAAAGAGGAAATACAGATGGCCAACAGGCACATGAAAAATTGGTCAACATCGCTAATCATCAGGGAAATGCAAATCCAAACCACAATGATATATCATCTCACAACTATCAGAATGGTTACCATCAAAAAGAACACAAAGAACAAATGTTGAGAATGTGGAGAAAAGGGAACCTTTGTACACTGTTGGTGGGAATATAAATTGGTGTAGCCAATGTCGAAAATAGTATGGAGGTTTTTCAAAAAACTAAAACTAGAATTACCATATGATCCAGCAATTCCACTCCTGGGTGTACATCCAAAAAAAAACCAAAAACACTAATTCAAAAAGATACATGCACTCCAATGTTCATTAGCAGCATTATTTACAATTGCCAAAGCATGGAAGCAACCTAAGTGTCCAACAACAGATGAATGGATAAAGAAGATGTGATACACACACACACACACACACACACACACACACACACACACAGGAATACTACCCAGCTATAAAAAGAATGAAATGTTGCCATTTCAGCAACATGAATGGACTTGGAGGGTATTATGCCTAGTGAAATGTCAGATAGAGAAAGACAAATACTGCATGGTATTATTTATATGCAGAATCTAAAAAACACAACAAACTATTGAATAAAACAAAAAAGAAGCAGACTCACAGATATAGAGAACAAACTAGTGGTTACCAGAGGGGAGAAGAAAGTGGGGAAGGGCAATATAGGCGTAGGGAAAATAAAAGGGTTATTATGGGATTATATGAAATCATGTGTGTGAAACTTCTGAAAATTGTAAAGCACTATAGAATTTAAAGAATCTTTCATTCAATTTAAAAAAAGATATATTTAGGGCAAATCTACTCAGTGGCTCAGAGAAAAATTCATTAAAAAATGTGATTTTGCCAATAAAAGTTCTGGTTATATCCATAATAAAATTTTAGTGTAAAAAAAAAAACACTCCAAAACAATATCGTCTTTAATTTATACTGATAATTATAGGAAGAGTCTGGAATGGTAAAGTGGTTAAGAATCAGACCCTGAACGCTTGTGCACTTTTGGTGGGAATGTAAATTTGTGCAGCCACTGTGGAAAACAGTACGGAAGTTCCTCAAAAAATTAAAAATAGAACTACCATATGATCCAGCAATTCTGTTTCTGGGTATCTGTGCAAAGGAAATGAAAACACTAACTTTAGAAGATATCTGCATCTCTGTGTTCATTGCACATTATTTACAATAGCTATGGAACAAAAGACATGGAAGTACCATGGTGTCCATTGATGAATGAATAGATAAAGAAAATGTGAGCTATATACATATATGTATATAAAACAGAATATTATTCAGCCATTAAAAAAAGGAAATTTTGCCATTTGCAACAACATAGATGGACCTTGAAGGCATTATGCTAAGCAAAATAAGTCAAACAAAAAGGACAAATACCTCTGATTTCACTTCTTGTAAAATCTAAAAGAAAAAAAAGAAAGAAAGAAAGAAAAGAAAAGAAAAAAAAGAAAAGAAAAGAAAAAAAGAAAAGAAAGAAACCAAACTCAGATTGAAAGAAACCAAACTCAGAAAGAAAGAAAGAAAAGAAAAGAAAGAAACCAAACTCAGATTGCCAAAGGTGGGGAGCGAATGGGTGAAGGGGGTCAAAAGGTACAAACCTTCAGTTATAAAATAAATAAGTCATAGGGATGTAATGTATGACATGGTGACTATAGTTAATAACACTGTATTGCATATTTGAAACTTACTAAGAGAGTAGACCTTAAAAGTTCCCATCACAAGAAAAAAAATTATTACTATGTGTGGTGATGGAGGTTAACTAGATTTGCTGTGATTATCAGTTCTCAATGTATACAAATATCAAATCACTGTGTTGTATACCTGAAACTAATATAACGTTATATGGCAATTATATCTCAATTTTTTTAAAAAGTGTTTGACATAGTTTAGGGATGTGCTTATGTACTCTGTGAACGGTAGCAATTTTATTCACAGATTAATATTAATTACATATTAATTATCATTATGTCAATGTTTATATCAATATGCCATGGTATGTTAATTTATATTTTAAAATAATTTAAATGTTATTGTAAAATACCATATTGTTTCTAAATTAACAACTAACCTCTGTGATTATCTCTTAAGGAAAAAAAAAACAAAGACAAACTATAAGAGTTAACTGCTCTAAGCTTCAGTTTCCTCAAATATAAAAGGGATAATACCTATTTCTTAGGTTCGTTATGAGAACTGAATAGGATTAAGTGTATAAAGTCCCTGAAATATACTGAGAGCTAATAAAGACAGTTATCATCATGATGACTGCCATTCTCACATCATCATAACCATCTATCAGTGCAGCTGCTATAATTATCATCGTCATCCTCATGTCATCATAACCACTGTCAACACAGCCACCACCACTGTCACCTGCCCTGAAGCAGAATCAATGGGTCAAAGAGTACAAAAGGTAACTGCCCTTTCTGCACCTGACAAATTACTCTGAAAGATGACTGCACTATTTTGTTCAACTTTGATGAGCAGAAGCCACATTTTCAGAGTCGCTGTCACTGTCCTTAGCAGACAGCAGTCCCAGTCTTGGATGTTTCCCAGGATGTGAGCAGACATCCTAGAACCCAGTTCCCGCTCTGTTGCTTCTGAACCCAAGCTGGCCTTGCTTAGAAGATTGGAAATGATCACAGCTAGCCCTTTCCCCACATCACTGCTGGGGGCACCAATGACAAGTGGGAAATGACTTCACCTGTAGGACTACATAGGCACCATCTGCAATTCTGATGCTTATTACATAATTTTGTCCTCCATTCTCTGGGGCGCTGAAAGAGCAGCTAGTGAATCAGGGGCACAGGCCCAGCAAACAGAGAGCCCAGTAGGAGAGGGAGGGAGGGAAAGGATATTGTACTATAATCACACTCCCCCCCACAGACACTGCGTGTACCAGGCAGAGCTGGCTGAGAAGGGGGAGCAGCCGTGGGGTTGAAGGGCTGCACCTTCACTAAGAGTGTCACTAGACTGCTAATCCAGGTTGCAGAGGAGGGAGGCTGAGCATTCATTAAGTGTGTTCCTCCACTAGGGGCCCCACCCAGGGAACCCCACCAAGAGGGCTCTGCCGCCAAGAGTGCTGCCCCTCTCCTGCAGTCCTGACAGTGGACAAGGGGGTGTGAAGCGGGGATGAAGGTTTGTGCTACCACTATGCGTGACCTTAGATAGTGGAATTTGCCCAGGGTTGACTGTAGTGCAGGGAGGAACAGGAGAGTGGGCCTAAGGGCTTCACATGGAGCACACCCAGGGCTATAAAGAGGGCTGAAGGGCTGTGCTTGCATTAACTGAGCCCCTCACTGCTGTCCCAGCCAGAGCTTACTGAAAAGGCGAGAGGGTGATGCAAATGGAATGCCTTCTTTACTTGTGTCCCTGGTCCCTGCCCAAGACGATGGCTCAGCAGCAGAGCATTTTGTTTGTTTTCTGACCTCGGAAGTTCACGTTCCTTACTTAGTTTTACAAGCAAAACATTTGCATTGAGTTGGGAACTGCTCAGAATCTTCATAAATGCATGTTCACCCTGCGTGTTCTCCACACCCCACTGGCTTTTATGTGGCAGGTCTGAGCTGTGGTTACCAGGCGCCTTGCTTCCCTGGGAGCACTGACGGGTTGGCCTTGAAGGGCAGCATCTGGCCATGCAGGACTGCTCCCGTCCTGCTCCAGCGTGCCCTCTGCATTTCACAGGTGAGAAGGTGGTGTTGGCTTAGTGTAGAGAAATACCTGTCTGCCAGGCGCGGCTCTGCTTACCAGCTTGCGCGCTCCCCGAATTCTGCTCTCTGTAAAGGACGCTTAAGGACACTGTTTGGACATCACATATACACTCGGCAATCGGGATATGGGACGCTTAGGAATAAATTTTTAAATGACAGTAATGGTAATACACTGAGTGATTCACGACGACTTTCCCGAGTCATGAATCGACCCAGGTTGCCCATGCCTGGATCGTCTGGCACAGGGAGATCGCTATGGATCGCTGGGTAGGAAGGAGCAGCTGCCCCTGTGTGTGGGTTGTAGGCACAGTACGCGGGTCTTCTTACCACAGCGGCCGGGTGTCTGTAGCGGGAGGCAGTGCAGGGCCGCAAAGACACACCTGCAGAGGCGGCAGCCGCGAAAGGTCCAGGCTCCGTGCCCCAGCGCGCCGCATTCGCTGCGGAGGCGCAGGCCCGGCGTCAGTGCGGAGGGCGCGCGCGCCCCCGGCCCCGCCCCGCGCGCCCCCGCCGCCCGCTGCGCCCCCTCCGCCCCGCCCAGCCCGTAACCTGCTCAACCCTCCGCCTACCTGTGCCTCTGGTCGTGCTCGCAGTAGCGGCCGGTGAAGTGAGCGGGGCACACGCAGAAGCTGCCCAGTACGCAGGTGCCGCCGTTCCGGCAGCAGCGCGGCCGCGGGGGCGCACCTGTTGGGGAAGCCTGGGCGTCAGCTCCGCACGCGGCCCTCTGCATCTGAGAAGCCCGAGGAGGGCCGAGTAAGATCGCCGCCGGGAGGCAATAAAATTGGCTCCCTGCTAAGAGTGTTTGCTCAGGTAAACCCTGCTTGTTAACTTAAGGATTAAAACACGAACTACCTGGGGTGCCGGCGGGTCAGGAAGGAGCCGGAGCCCTAAGACAGACGGGAAACCCTGCCCCCTACAAGTAGAGTGTTCTTTCTTTCTTCCTTTCACATGTTAAAGTTAGGCTGTGACTTCCCAAGATGGTGATTAAAGACAGGCCTCTCGGGCGGGCGGGGACCACCCACGGGTGTGAAGAAGGCAAAAAAAAAAATTTTTTTTTTAATTCCACCACTGCCCATCCACGCCCCCACCTCCACTGCGGACCCCCTGGGGACCAGGGGTCTGGAGCCTGAGAGTCTGCAATAAGACTAGCAAAGGGCCGCTATTATCCTGGGTTGGGATAGTTGCTTTAAATACATTAAAATCACAGTGCTCTGGACCGGCAGAAAAATACCCGTTTAAAAGCGAACGCAACGTTTTACCAATAAAATAGTAAAACATTTTTCAGAGTAAAAGAGCACCTCACTAGGAAATATTTTTTACTTTATAAGGTATCATTATTTGAAGATGGTAAAATGTTTTATAAACTCAGAGTTCACTGACCGAGATGTCCTTTGTGGGCAGCATCGCGACTTACGCTCTCGGAAAGTCCGCGAGTAGGGCAATGAACCCTGCGGCCTCCAGCCCTCTGCGCTGTCGTTCTCCTCCCTAAAATTATTCAAGGTCCAGTCGAGTGTTTTCTGCTGGAGCTTCTGAGCTGTAGCACTGTTGATTCCTTCTCTACTACCTTTATATTTCTCTCTTTGATAGCCTTAAAAAGTTAATTGAAAATATGAGACTGATCATGATTGAGAAGCAAATAGGCAACAAAAACTGAGACTATAAACAAAATAGTTCTTACTGTTTCCCACGTGGATGATCTGTAATGCCAAACTGATCATAAACAGAAGCCTAGAATATTTAAAGAAAGTTATCAAAGTTTAAAATATAAAAAAGTATGAGCAGAAATTTATATATGTAAAGATGTAATGCATTCATATACAAATATATAAGTATATAATGTGTAGGTATATTTTTAATGTACAATAAATATTATGCAGTCATTTTGTAACTTGTAGATTTTGATTAATGTTGTCATCCCTTAGAAAGATGTTGAGACCAAGAGTGTATATGTCCCTTTAAGAGAAGGAACATCGTGCATGCATTGCAATTTATTCAGGCTCTTCAACACCCCTCTTGGCTCTAAGATCTAGATGATCTCCGTTCTTACCTAACAGAGTGGCTCCGGGTCATTTTCCTACTGACACGTCTGGTATAAAAGTCTCCTTCTCTCATGGATACATTGAGGATCTCCAAGGAAGCTGAGTCTGACAGTTTTTGTATTTGAAGGTGTCTTTACTGCAGGTCCTGGTAGAACTGCCTCAGGAGCCAAGATGGATAAGTACAGAAGACACAGGTATTTCCTACTCTCTACCCATGCCACGAGAAACAGCAGTGAGAAACAGCAATGAGGTCTCTGAGTTCTGCTGTGCAACTCGCTTAGGCAAAGGCAGGCTGTGACAGGCAGGGCCCAAAAGTGAGCCTCAGGGATCATCCCCTCAATGAGACACCGCTGGGGGTGGGGGCAGGGTGGGGTGGAGACACAGCCGGATTCTCTCCCCAACAGTGTTTACTGTACTGATAGCAGCAGGAGTGGTCAACCCCTAATGTAAAACATCGGTGACCAAAGCAACAAGCCTTTCCCTCCCTGAAAAAAACAAAAAATTAAAACCTCAACGTGAACAAAAAGTTTTCATAGGAAAATAGAGATTTTATATTGCACACTCCTTGTACTGGGGGATGGTGAGGAGCCCAACTAGTGAAGGGACCAGCTGTGTGGGACGGAATTGATCTCTGGTGGCCTCTGCCTGCAGCAGCTTAAAGCAGGGTTTCGGTTCAGCCAGAGGTTGAAGTCAGGCCTCGGCAGTGAGCATGCTGAATCCTAGCCACTAGACCACCACCACCAGTGGCCAGTGACAAGGCCCTGGCCCGTCAGCTGTGTAGAAATGAATTTCCACGTAGAGATGGAAAGTAGTGAAGCAAGTAAAGTGTTTATTAGGAGGAAAAAGGGTATGTGTGGATAGACACACGGGTGGGCTCAGAGGAGAGTCACGCCCTCGTGGTAGTTTGAATCATTTTTATGGGGCATTTCTGCCGGGTTTCCTTTGGCCAATCATCTTGCTTTGCCTCGTTCTGAGTCTGTATTTGGTACATCTCAGGGTCCTCCCATGAGTTGTGGGCACATCTCTTAGCCAAGGTGGATTCTAGTGAAGAGGCCTGTGGGAAGGTTGACATCACTTACTATGGGGCGGCACCCTTTTTGATCCAAGGAGCCTTTCTGCACATGTGTAGTCGGGAAGGTCTCCTTGACCGAGAATGAGAATGAGGAATCTGTGGTCTTTTATCTCTTACCTGGGCGGGGCCCAGCCTTCTCTCTCGCTCCTGCTGTTATGGAGTTTCTGTCCACAGGGAAGAAACTTCAGCTGTTCAGCCTGGGGCCCATCTATCTCCTGCCTCAGAACCAGCAGGCTTGAGTTCCAAAAGCCTTGAGTGGGGAGCATGAATATAAAGAGAGTCATTTCATACCTCCTTTCTGAGGATGCATCAATATTTTCACAAACAGGGCCTTTTCTCTGTGCCTAGCATAGTGGTGAATATATCATATTCGTTACCCACTCAATACAGCACCCCTCGGGGGACACACTCTTATTACCCCTCATGTTTCAGTGAGGCTTAGAGTTTAAGTCCAAAGCTTTTGGCATTTAGATCTTTGAAAAACATGAAATGCACAGATATTACAAGAAGGCTGCAGGGTGCCGGGTATCTGAAGACCACTGAGCACAGGGGTAACTGCCACCTGCTAATGTCTGATGAGGGGCCTGCTCTGTATCCAAGAGGGGAATGGTTTGGGGACCTCTTCTGGGTCTTGCTAATTTTCAATTTTTCTAATTGCCAAAATAAGGACTGGGCCCTTTTATCACATTGCAGATGACACCTTGCAACTCTGGATCAAATTGTTCTTTGATTTTTGCATAAAAACTACTTTCTAAAAATAGCATGCTTCCTCCAAAGATGAAATAGTCTTTGATACTGATTTAATGTTTTAAACCTTTAAATGGGAGGTTAATTAAAGATGCCATTAAATAAACTAGTAGGGAATTGGTGAGCCTGGCCGCCATGAAGCCTTCCAAAAGCTGGGTCTGTGAGCTTCCAGGACCAGGACCTGCAGATCTGAGTGGGCAAAACTCAGGAGACACGAGGAGGTTGCCTCATACCTTCGTGAAACATCTGTAATGGGAGTCATGACAAATATACTTTTAGACTTAATGGTTATTAAATCGAAAACCATAATTTAGTTACATATGAAAATAAGTATATATATGACTTTAAATCAATAGAAAGTTCTTTATGAGCGACGTGGGTTGTACACTAAAAACCATGGATAACCTAAAGGATTATATTTCTTTGAATAAAAAGTTTTAAAATTGTTCAGTTTATAAGAAGATATTGAATCCAAACCTTTCTGACAATATTTAAAGTTTTATAAGTAGTTTGTAAAATCTACAGTTTCTTTTATTAAATTTTGCATTTTCAAATATACACAAAAGCTAGGATGATGATTCAATAACATTTGGTTCAACAATCAACCTTTGCCAATCTTAAGTGTTATTTTCCTCCACACTTTTCTTTTCTTGGTGTTTTTTAAGGCAAATCTCAGACATCATGATATTTCCTACATCAAATAAGGTTTTGAAAATATGCATCTTATAAATGGAAACTGTAGAAAAAGGAAGGGAAATGTCTTGCCAGCAAGACAGGATTGAGGCTAGAAATAGGATGAATGTCCCATCTCTGGCTGTTTGCTTAAGATCTGAAGTTAGCTCTGGATTGAGGCTAGAAATAGGATGAATGTCCCATCTCTGTTTGCTTAAGATCTGAAGTCAGCTCTGAGGAGGGAGTGGGCTGAAGGCTTAGGGGTGATAAAACACTCTGACACTTGCTCTCATTTACTTAAAGGTCTTACAAAGAGTTTTGCATTTCACTAGGAGGAGCCCAGGTTTGCTTAGTTAATAAGACCCTGCTGGAAGGGGTTGCCAGGGAGCAGCTGGAGGCCCTCTGGTGGGCAGGCAGACCAACACCCCTCCCCCCCCCCCCCCCCCCCTCCCCACCCCCCCCCCCCCCCCGCCCCCCCGCCCCCCCCTGTCCGGGGAAGGTCCTCTTTCTTGTTATCAGTTGTAAACAGATAAGACTGGAGCCGGCCCACCCATCAGACTCCTTTTGAGCTGACATAAAGTGTGTGGGAATTGGGATACCCTGTCTCCAAGACTGGAGACCACCCCACCTCTATGTCTTCAGTACATCAAACAGTCACTGAGGAAAATGTTCAACAACAAATTAAGTGTGAGAGAATTCTCTGGGAGCAGGTCATTGATGTGTACTTATTGGGGTTTCCGGGAAGCTCTTAAAATGTGCTTAGGCCACACCTCAGGCCCTCTGCTCAGAATCCCCAGGGCAGGGCAGAGCTAGCGTCAGGATTTTTAAACCTGCCCAGGTGTTTCTAGTGTGCAGCCAAGCCCGGGACGTGTCCAAGTCCTCCTTGGCTGTGCGCTCCCTAGAATGGAAATGCTCAGCACAGCGCCTGGTGCACGGCACCACACAACAGTCAATGCCCTATCATACCCACTTTTCAGTGAGGAAATTGAGATTTAAGAAGTTAAGAAACCACCTTTGGGATAGATGACTAACAAACAGCTGTGCAGGGCCTTGAACCTGGGTTCATCTGATCTAAAATCTGTGTTTGATTCAAGTTGCTTTAGAATTATTGAGTGTTTAATGTAGACTAGGTATACTATACTCACTAGTTACACAGATTGCTTTGTTTTATTGTCATCACATCCTTAATGAGATAGGAGGGGGGCAGGGCACAGCTTTTTAAAAAATGACAGCTGTTGAGGACATGACATAAACCGGTTAGAACCAACTAGGTCCAAGATGGTGGACGACTGACGTCCACTAGACCTTGAGTCTCAGTATACACTCATCGTAATACATGAGCATCCTAAACGACACATCCACAGGTGCCATGAAAGTTCCCAGGCAGATCATAAAAGACCAAAAAGTGGACGGTGGCCCAATTCCTGGAAATCCCTGCCCCTTCCCCCAAATAGTTGGAATAATCCTCCCACTTATTAGCCTATGAAATTACGCAGCCCTATAAAAGCTGAAACCCCGTACCCTGGCGCCTCTCGCCTTCTGAGATGGCCCACACTCTGTCTCTGGAGTGTGTTTCTTCCTGAATAAACCTTTCACTTTACTGTGGCTCACTTTTGAATTCTTTCCTGCATGAAGCCAAGAACCCACACTCAGTGGCCGTCCCAGGGACTTGCCTGAGACCTGGCACATAGCCATCCTCTCGCGCCCCACTTTCTTTCCTGCAACATTATGCCATTGATACTAATTTCTACATTTTGTAGGTGCGAAAAATGAGGTTTCAAGAGTTGAGGACTTGCACAGTGCCTCACAGCAGTGACCAGCAGTCAGAGCCGAGCTACTGCTCCAAATCCTTCCTGTGTGCCCACCTGAACCTGGCTGAGGGCTTCTATGGGACACAGTGGAGGAGAGTGGATGGAGAGACACTGCCCCCTCCTGCAGTAAGGGAGGGATTTAGAGAGCAGAAATCATGTACTGAGGTGGTCACAGGAAGGGGCAGGGCACTGACTGCTGGAGGGAAGGAGGCCTCAGGTGAATGACAGCAGGGACAAGGGTGGAAGGGCAGGAAGAGAGGGTGTGGGTGGAGACATTTGATGCAGGTCAGATGATGGGGAGCCTGGATGCTCTTCCCTGAATTCATGCAGACCTGAATAGGGATCAAGTGGGAGTTCAGAGAAAAGAAAAGTTAAATATGTTACACATATGTAACAACCAATGT